GGCAAACCTGCCCTGAATTACATGTTTAAGGGCTCTTGAGCAGTGTCCATCAGGGAGAAACAGAAAGAGTGATTAAAAATGACTAGGATAGTGTAATCTGAAGCCAAATGATTAGGTCATGGGAAATAGAAAGGAGACCTGCAAAAGGTTTTCAAAAGTTAATGATTTTTGTGAGTTTGAAAGGGAACAACTCTCAAGTAGATTAGTATTTGTCTATTATTTCTTAATGGAGAGAATAAGTACAGATATCAGATTACTGATAAATTCAGAAATCTTGGTTACATTTCAGTTTTTTTATTCTTTGATAGGTGTTTGATCAGTACTTAAATTTTATTTCTTTGGAAGATGAAATGTTTACAGTGAGAAATCAAGACAGAGATTCAATATCATACTATGGTAAGAACATTCTAGTTGAAAGTCTGCCAGAAGTGGTGTCTAAGAACTTACAACCTGTTTATAGAAAGGTGGTGGAAAGGTACTCATAATTATCAGGATTATTGTTTTCCCTTTGATATCTAAGAGTGACTAGCACCTGATTTCTCCTACATTAAGGTCAAAAGAACAATTGAAATGATCATCAACTGGAGAATCTTTTGATTGTTTCACAAATTCTCTTTCTCACCACCTTAGAAAATGTATGGAGACGAGTATGGAGAATATTCATTCTGATGTCTTTATTTTCCAGCACTTAACAGACCAGATGCCAAAGATACAGACATTGAAATGCTAAGAGATGTTTTAGTCGACAGTCTCTTTAGTGTACTGGTGTCTTTAGGTAAGTTGATTTTCATAAAGAGAAGAAAGTGTTCATACTTTAAAACTTCCATGATCTCTAGTGAGTTTCAAATTAAAATGTTATGGAATATGCTTATCACATTTCTCTGTGGAAAAGGCGTAAATTAAAGTTTCTGCAGTTGTCTTTATGCAGGAAAGGACAATATACATTTAGTTTCTTTATTTCTTTAGGGACTCTCTCAATAATTAGATGTGCAAAGGGCAATGCTGCTGAAATGGTAGGAGAGGTAATCAGTTGCTTGATATCATTTTTCTTTTCATTTGCCTTCTCAAACAAAACAAATAGTTTTG